CGACCAGGTGGTGGAGCGCAAAGCCGGTGGAAACGCCATATGGACCAATCCCGGCGACATTTGCCAACATGCCGTGGTGAGCGCCGCGGAGAGCACGGGGGAAGTCCAACGCCTTTTGCGAGACCTCTTTGCCAAGCTCCGACACCACTGTGTCTGCCAGGAAGGCAACTGTTCACTTCGCTCTGACGCCCAAACCCTATCTGGTGACCCCGCACCCGCTTGCCAGAGTCCCAGGCGATGTCAAGTTTGCCTGGCATTTGAAGCCCAGCCCAGGGAGCTGTATGGCAAATGTCTGTCCACCAAAAACGAACGCCTGAATCTACTGCTCTGTTGTTGTCCGGCCATTGCCAAGATCTGCCGACTTTCGAAGGCCCCGACCACTCTGTCAGCGGACGAAAGCCAGAAACATGACCTGGATGTTCGGAACCTGCTGCGTGCCCTAGTCAAATGTGGCGAGAACCGACTGAACTGCATGCGCAACATCGGTGACCTGGCCGAAATTACCCCGCGCCTATTGTGCGTCCAGCTAAGGACTGGCCACTCGGAGTTTTGGAATCACTTGCGCACTGTTGCCAAGGTCGTAAACAAGCAACCGAACCTGGAAGCCAAATTGGCCGCTCTGATAGCCCTCCGAAAGTTGGTGCCACCTGGCAATCACTGGTCTTTCTATCTGGCCTCCACAGATGAAAATGCAGGCACGGAGCTGGACATCCTGAAGCGTTGGACAGAAGCAGCCTCGAAGTCGGGGTCAACCGCTGATAGTTCATCCTCCAGCCGTCCTCTCCAGGCAGACAATTGACACGTTGAACTCTCTCTCCTGCTACTTGTATTAGGTATGGAGCCTAGAAAAACAGTCAAGAAAAAAGTAACGTAAGGTTTCGCCGGTCGGGCCTTTTTCGGCTTGTGGGTTGTTGTTGTTGTTGTTTTTTCTTTTTCTACCCCGGACAGACAAGCGACTTTCAGAAAACTCAACTAGGGGTAAGAAAACAAGAGTCATTGTAGATATCGTTATTGCCAGTCGGTCGACTTGTTGATGAAATGAACGTGTAGTTTGTCGTTTTCTTAGAATTGAGAGCTCTGCTCCCAGCAAATTGCTTGTTGAAATTGATCATCCTAAGTGGGTGGCCAATGCTTTTAACAATTTCCTCGCCAATGTCAGTACCTCGCATGAGAGATCATTAGAATTTTTGGAGAACAATAAAGTCATTGAAAGCGAGCAGATCTCAGTAAAGCCTTTGATACTTGACGGAAAACTAGATTATTACGGCACTCGTGGTGTAAGCAAAGATTGCTTTGCCAAAGTATGGAGCTCAATTAGTGAGAATTTGAAAACCTCTATTTCAGACTTCAAGGAATCAGTCAAGAGCGATCTAGTCAAAGCTGATTAGTTACTTATGTTCTTATTAGCAGTTGTGTTGTTTTCCAATTGACCTGTAAAGTAGTGCTATGAACTATTTTAGACTTCCTTCGTGGCATAGAGATGAACTGTATTTTATTCCTATTTAATGCTGATCTTATTAGCTGTGATTTTCACTTGAAATATCTCCAGTGAACTTTGTAATGTTTAGCTTTAGCCAGAGGGAGTACCAATAAAGATCGATGGATTGAAGACACGGCTTGTTAGGCGTATTGAATTGTCCTTGGCAAATTGGCAGTTTTTTTGTCACGGACGCAGAGCAATTTTGTCAGGGATAAAAACAATTTTTCTCACGGATAAAGAGGAATTTTGTCGCGGATAAAAGGAAATTTTGTCACGGATAAAAAAAATTGGGTCGCATTGTGCATGTCAAATATCAAAATATCATCACTAATAATACATAATAATAAACTAATACTTTTAACAGCAGGCCTCCAATCACCTAGAGGTGGTTTTCAGGAGGGTCCTGTCAAAAAATAAAAGCCTAGAATATACATTGAATGTCTAAAATACAGAAGTTGATTATCATGATAGTTGCTGAGAAAGTGGTAAATTGAGATATCAAAGTATCACTCAAATCCTCAGGCGTATAGCATGGAAAGGTATACCTCAGAATAGCAAGTTATCACAAAATGCATCACTCTCATTCTCAAATCTCAGTATCATGTAACGAAGAAGAATAGTTTGATATATCACGAAAGTATCAAAATCGCTTAGTTTCACTGCTGTTTGCTTGCGGTTGGGTACTTTGACAAATGCAAAATTGCCAATTATTCTACTCAGTCTATAGATAGCCATAACATTTCGCAACAAAGCCACTCAATAAATTATACAGGGAGAATATTTCGCAGTTACTGAAATTTCATTAACGTCCAAGTAGTCACCCAATATATTATACGGAGAGAATATTTCCCAGTTACTGAGATTTCATTAACGGCGAACTAGTCACCCAACGTAGTATGCCGAGCAATGTGACTCTTTCTCCTCAAATCCGCCCGAATGTCATATCACTCTGCCTAGCCTGAATACATATATCACTCCGCTTAGCCTAAAGATCACTCCAGTTAGCCTAAATAAGAAATCCTGCCTCACCTGCAGCTCAGCTGTTCTCGCCGACATCTTGAATTACCGCTGGCTGACTTCAAACAGGGCAGGCTCACTTCCAAACACCCTAGCTACTACCACAACTTCGGACCCCATTTTCAAACCTTGCCACTCTATGCACAAACTCCACACTGACTCCAGCGCGAACTCTGTGTCCTCTACAAGGAATCGCACAGTTTGTTAATCTCATCCATGCAAACCCACCCTCTCTATAGGCCTTCGAAGTTGGCCTCTTACGCTACTTACCAGCCCTCCTCGGTCCTAGGCCCCAGACTCCCCTTCAATGGGCCCTTGTTTCATGTTTACTCGAATTGCACTGAGACTGCCACGTCGAATAACGCCATTTCCTACCTCCACCTTCGACCAGCTGCAACTGATTCTTCCTCCTCCTCCCAACATGCACTCAATAGTTTCCTACCGTCTATCTTCCTCCGACGAATCAAGCTCAGATGAATCCGAAAACGCAGAATTCGTTCAGCTTTCTCCGACCAAGAAATTCTGCACGGGTACACATCAAATATCCTTCCAGCAACAAGACCAGCCAGAGGACGACGACGAACGACAAGAAGAAGATGAACGAGTAGTAGTAGAAGAAGAACAAGAAGAACAAGAACAAGAAGAAGGAGATGATGATGATGATGAACGAGAAGAACAAAGATCCGCAGAAGAACGACAACAAGGCCAAGAAATTGCAGCTCACACAGCCAATATTCCTATCAGCAAAGTCCCGAAACAATCATATGCCCTCGACCAGAAAGAATTGCCGGGAGAAATGAAAAACTTTCTACGGGAAGTCAAACGTTTTTTCACCCGTCAAGTCAACCTGGAGAGACAAGCGAAACCATTGGCAATCTCCACGTACCAGAAAGCACAGGAGAGGATGTTGTGTGAGTTATTTCCCAAGTTCAGAGAGAATTCTTTTAACCATCTGATTATTGCTGTCTTTATTTATGTTCAAACTTGTCCTTTTTCATGCCCTCAGGTTTCCTAGGATTTTTAAGGACTCGCCTCCGAGTGGAATTACAACCAAACGTTTTCCTTCGTGGAGCACTCTTGGAATCTTATCTGGACTATCTTAAGGTGACGTAATAGATTTTTTTTGACGTTTGCGCGGGTACTGGGTCGAACTCAGCGGCCATGTTGGATGTTGTGGACATGTCAAATCTTTTTGGCTTGCTTATCCATGTTCTTAGTTTTAAAACCCATTTGTAAACTACCATAATTTTACCAGATATAGTTGTGTTTCAGGCTATATCAAGTTATGTTATGTATGAACACATCTCCTTGACTGCAGAATTTGTTTTCCTGAAACTGGCTCAGAATGTCAATTCTAAAAAGTGATATCTACAACTTGTGTTAATTATTGTTTTTGACTGTTTAGTGCTATTTCGTGAATCTTGATAAATAGTGTAAGGTTTTTTCTCTTTTGCAGGAACACAGGAACCTGTCACCAGCAACCATATCAAATCACTGCTCTTCGCTATTGTATGCGGTCAAATTCCTCCACCGGGACAGCGCTCCAGAGTACCGGGACATTTCTGTCATCAAGCAGCTGAGAACTCAGGCCACACTTCTCCAGCGTCAAGGCGATTTGGAACGTCCCCAGACCAAGGAAGAGCTGACGGTTCTGAACCGTTGGCTTGACTGGTAAGCCCAAGTCAGATTATTTCACTGCCCTGCGATGGGTGAAAATCCATCTTCTTATGATCAGTAACTTTGACACACGTGTAATTACACCTACCTTACACGCACTGTCCACAAATACTACACGCAGACTACACGCATTTCGCGTGCTGAAGGCCCCCCAATCCCTTTGACCAGTATCGTACATCTGTGTGAGTGACAAATTTGCATTTTCCAACCCCTAACAATAGTCATTTCTACCCTTGGTGTATCCACGACTAAAACCTATGGATATGTGCAGGCTAATATCATGATACAACATTTTGCAGGGAGCAGATTGTCAACGCTTGCAGTGTGCAGAGAGATTATTTTGAGATGGCTGTCAACAAACGGGAGAAGGCACGCGAATGTTGTGACCTGGTTATTTTGGCCTTGTACGTTTTCATCCCTCCAGGCCGGGGTGTCGAGGTTCGTACCCTGGAGATTCAAAGAAACTGGCAGCAATTTCATCCTAATCAAGTCAAAGACAGAAATGTCCTCCTGGTGAAGGATTCAGAAGAGGTCACACTTTACTTCCACAACTATAAAACTGCAAAGTTCTTTGGCCGCCAGGAGCTGACTTTGAAGGTAAGACACAGCAGCAGAATGACTTAATTAACACTTTTACATATTTTGATCGGTCTCCTATCTTCCTATTAATCATGGCAGCAGACTAGCTAATAGTGGGCTTTTCTTGTGCAATTATCCAGTGGTTGTTGCATAATCCTATATGGTCACTGACCATATGGAGGGTGCGAGGAGTTTTGTTCTTGGTGCCAAGGCTTGAATTTGCCAAGATCTGTGATTATGATACTGTGATATTATGATACTTCCTGAGATGTTGTACTGAAAAGAAACTAAGCCATGTCACACTATTTCTTCTGACCACAGGCAGATCATGAATTGTGCACAATACTGCTGGACTTTGTGAACAATCACCGTCCACAATTGGTTGGCAAGGAAAGTGGTGACATCTTGCTTCTGGTAAGGACATAATCTTCAAGCTGTAATGCAGTAACTTATTGTCATTCCATTTGGGGTGACTAGCAGGACAAATTCACCCCAAATTCTAGCGTCAAGTCAAACCCTAACCCTACTTTTGGACTAACTCTTCCCAAGTTTCTGGGAATTATCTTCAACAATCTTTCAGTCACCTTGGAAAACCACACATTCACCCCCAAAACAAAAGTTGGTGACTTGAAAAAAAGGTCAATCACCCTGCCAAATTTGATCCAGGAATGTTTTTTGGGTTCTGTTGGGGTAGACTGTCCCAGAGTTGAACTTTCCTTTTCAGTTGTGGGGTGGTTTAGTTGAAATAAACATTTTAGGCAGGCTAGACAGGGTGAATTTACCTGATTCTTCATTCTACGGGAATGAACCTTTCACGGTTTAGGGGTGAATGTCAGCATTTCTTCAACCCTGCAGGGGTGATTTGCTCTTACACTCATTCTCTATGGGGTGAACAAATAACAAGACTCACCCTAACTTGGCTTTTTTTTCCTTCCTTGCAGAACAGAAACGGAGCAAGGTTCACCAGCTCCTCCTTTTCAGCGCACATTAAGAACCTTTTCCACAAACTGACAGGAACTGTGGTCTCCGTCAACATGATTCGAAGTTCATTTGTGACCTGGGCTTATGGAAAAGAGTAAGTCTTGAATAGTTGACTTCTTTATCTATAGCTACAGTACCGGTCAAAGGGACTGCAGCATTACGCGTGCGTTAAGCGAGTGTACTACATGCACATTACACGCAGTGTCCACGCACCTTACATGCAAATGAAATTACAAATTACAAGATTAGGTTTCAAGACATCATTTATTTAAATTTGAATGAATGACGGGCTAAAATATTATTATGGCCGGTTATGGCTGGCACAGGAAATTGGTGGTGGGTTTTCGCACGGCCGGTTATGCCTGGCACAGGAGTCAATGGGTTAATACTGCACAACAGACATGTTGGGCCTTCCAACAGGGAAACAAGCACTATGCTAGCTAAACCAGAGTTAAATGTTACAACAGGAAGGAAGTGTAGCATTTCTGTTTAGAGTGGGAGAGTTTCATCATAACAGGTATCAAAACTAGAGTTTCTCTTTCTCTCTCGAAATCGCTATGCAGTCTAGTGTTTTACAATAAATAAAATAGATGAATAATTTCATCATAACATTGTCAAAGTAAACAATGATATGATGCTAGGACAGATGCATGAAAAACACTAGATCACGGAACAAACACTTCCTAGAGTGCACGTTAGAAAATCAATGCCTGATGCAATGTGTTTAATTTTTACATAGCGACACTTCAGATGCCCTCAAAGCTTCACTGGCTTCTGCCTTAGGCCATTCAAGGGAACAGGCTGAGAAAACATACGACCGACGAACGGCAAATGAACGGAAAGAATGTGCTGTACGTGTAGCCAGAGAATATGCCCAGGAAATCATCTCCAATCCAGATATGGCAGAGACCACAGGTACCAACACTCCTAATGTGCAACCACCAGCGGCTACCAACATAAAGCCGGCCCAATTTGTAGGGTTGATTGAAGAAGACAGCACACTAAGAAGTCCCAAAATTCTGATTGGCCAGGTGCATTCTTTTCTAGCTAATGGTAAGGTCTCCCTGATTTGGTACAAAGCCTACAAGAACTACTTCAAACTTGAACTAGATGGCGAACAATGGATCGAAGATGTCAATTGTCTCGTGCCCGTAAGCATGACACCTGTCAGGAATAAACCGGGACTTTATCGTTTGAATAACAGCTTGCGATCCATTCACAAATCCTTAACAGATGACTAGCCACTGAACAGTTTGAACTTTTAACTTCATTGCTTCTAGTGCACAGTTCAATATAATTTTGTTATCAACCGCCAGTTTCTCATAACATTGAAAAACTATTTTTTTTGACAAAGAATCCAACGAAAAGCATTGTAAACAAATGACCAGTGCTATGAGAACTTGCGGTTGATTAACTGCCATTTTGCATGAGATGATATTGGTAGATTGTTATCAAGATCCAATTTCTCATAACACCGACGATTGATCTTTTTTAGTCTTTTGAAAATCACTCGCAGCATAGTTTTAAAACAAGCATAGACATTGATGTTTGGAATGTTTTGGTGAAATGTTATTGGAAAATTATTTTTTTTATCAGAGAATGTCAAATATTATTGGAAAATTATTTTTTTATCAGAGAATGTGGATAAAAGCTTGCAGGAATTTCCTGTGTTATGAGAACTTGGGCTTTAGTGA